ATATGGTATTGTGGCGGTCCGCTTACGGCACGCGCGCCTGGCCGCGCGCCGGGCCCGCGCGCCCGCCACGTGACGAGAGCGGTGCGCGACGCCGCCGCTAGGTGCCGCAGGCGCCACGACAAATCTCGTAATTGAGATTCACCCACGCCCGCTATATCTAGGGCTCCGTGGGTGGTCTCAAGCACGTTCTTCTGCTCTCGGAGCGACGCGAGCTTTTCAGGCCGTCACTCCGAGAGTATTTTGGGGATACCAGCAAGCGACAGAGCGAGCTTGGTCCTTGTAATCGATAGGAAGCAAGAGTCCCGGCCTCTCGATTCAAGGCACTCCAGGCCTCTGTACCGCCCCACGTCGCGTACGCCCAGCCGGGCCATTCTTTGCCGAGTCGACGACGAAGCCAGCCATCACGCCGCGGGCAAAGAAAAGGGGGCCACCCTGTCCCCTCGAGGCAAACGGCCATCCGCCTCTACATGAAGCCCAGGCGAGCAATCACCCGTCTCTGCAGGAAGCACAAGCCAGCAGTCATCCGCCTCCTCCGCAGGAAGTCTCAGCAGTGGAAGAGGTCTCCGAACGCCGGCTCGACCCGGGAGTGGCCTACCTTCCGTGGCGTCTGACGCCCATTGACTTCATCAGGCCCGATCGTCCACCTACGGATCCTCGGCCCCGGCCAACGGTCAGCCGAGGAACGCAGACCGAAGGAAGCACCTCACCACCAAGTCCGCCGGTCAGGACGCCGACGAAGCCGACGACGCCAGGGCGAACGAGGCAGCGCAGCCCCACGAAGCCGCTGACTCCCGGGCGACCAAGGGGTCCCTCCATCCGGACCTTCCGCACGCCCAGTCGCCAGCCAGCGACGCCGTCAAGACGCCCACGACCTTCAGAGTCCCCGGGGCGCTTCGCGGACCTCCTCCGGCGACTGGCACAGGCGTCGCCGGACCGCAGCCGATTGAGAACGGCCATCTCAATCCCGCTGCGACCGATTCCACGATTCCAGCGCAGGCCATTTGTGCAGGACCGGACGAAGGCCCTCTTTAGCGCGTTGGAGAAGGCGGATCTGCATCGACACCGGCGCTAAAACCTCTTCGCACCTCTCGGCGCGGGCACCTTCGGGTGCCACCCGACTTACTTACTTCCTATCTCCTTCCGGAGTCAATCCATCTCAACCAAGTATCTACACTGACATTCCTACCCTTGTACATATATCCTAACAATATATTCAACGTGTTATCCTCATACGGAGTCATTTGTGGATTACCCTTCATTGCGCTCCTTCTCCTGATCTATCACTACCTACGTCCACAGTATAATTTACTTTTAATCCATGAATGACGTTATTAACATTAATAATTAGTGTTCCAGTTTGATGCATACTTTTACATTGATCTAATGTTGTGTCGATTATATATTCTGCTTGTGCATTATTTACAGTTGATGTGTGAGAATACCTTCCGCAGTAATGAATTGTTCGTGAAATTAAGATTTTACATTGTATTACATTTATTGATTCAAATTTTGATAATTGTAATAATTGAATATTTATTTTTTGGACTTGCGGTTCAGTTAAGGGTATGTCGCATTCCTCTATATCCAATAATGATATTGTTGTTGTGTTGAAATTTGCCGATCCGCAGTCATAGCCAACAATTCCATAAATTCCTCGCATGAAGATTATCCGCATTACAATTAGGTAGATTACAGTCTTTATCTATGATTAAAATTAATTAATTAATAACTTATTTTAATATTTAGTTCTGGGAAATTGAAGATGCTGCGCGGTTCAAGTCCAATCTCCCAGCTTTAGTTTTATTTAATTATTTGTTCCTTG